TATTGTGAAATTTTGCCGCCCCCTAAAAAGTGCCGCCCGGCACTTTTAGGGGGCGGCACTTTTAGGGGGCGGGCCGCCTCTGCAGCCCCCACTACGGTACGCCACTGAGTTTAGTTATTCAAATGTAGTTTAGTACTAAAACTAATACTCAAGAATGTGGCTAAAACAATACTCAGAACACTGAAAATTCTCTCGATGTATTAATTTTTTAGATCAAAACTATTATTTTTTTAAAATAAACAAATCTCAGCACAATTATGTTAATTCAAGCAGGGAGATTGCTAATTAAAAAACCAAATGAAAAGATTTATTGAAAAGGAAATGTTTTTAGTTTGTATTTCACCATCTTCAGCTTTAAAAATGTTTGATTTGAATTAATATATTAGCAGTCATATCATAGTTTTCAGCAAACAATTACCATACAAGCTGGGAATACTTAGTATTGTTCATAAATCCATGTTTGTGAAAAGTGCTTAGAAAAGTGTTATGTTATTTCGAAAAAGGTGGAAATTTTCTAGCTCATGCTGACAGACTGACAACTACTGCTTTCAGGCTGAGAATCTGTCTTTAACTGTCCACGAAAAACCTTTTTTTGTGGACAGTTATTACTCAATATAGTGTTACAGTTAGAAGATGTTTGTGTTAGAATCTGTCTTTGGAAGAAATTGACAAATATGTACATGAAACAGCCAGGTAGTGTTGCCACCTTTTCAAAATTGCTGACCCGGATGGCAAGTGAGGTTTGTTCGAACAGAAGTTCCTGACACATGCGCAATGTCATTTTGCAATGCAAAGAATAACATGCAGTGCATGGCGGTTCTAAATCAGTTACAGTTACGGACTAGGGAGACTTGGGTAGGAGTAATGTAAGTAACTAAATTAAAAAAAACAACTACAGATGACCTAGCTCTATCAGTTGGATATTGGAGACGTGTACAAATATGAATCGTGCAAGCAAAAAAAAAGGGATGACAGGTTGCATACGAAATTCCCGTACAAAATTAATAGTTCACCTGGACAGTGAGTCAATTCCGCAGACTGTCCGGGCGAAAATCGGACAGGTGGTAACACTACAGCCGGGGTTGTTAAGACATTGAGGAGCTGGAAATTTTTCCCTAGGCCGGGAGGAAATTTAGGGCCCAAAGTGATTACTATCCCTATAAAGTAACATTTTTTTACTAATGAAAATAAAATGTTTAAGCCTGTTTTTTATTGATAAAGAAACATTCTAAAAAATTTCATTTGCTCAAAAAACAAAAAGGCTAAAGAGACTTGTTGAGGCAAAAAGACCTGGCCTATCCCTGGTCCCATATAAGCTCTTGATAACCCTAAACAGAGTTGCTAGAAACAGAGAAAAAATAACTAATATTAAATGAAAAAAGCTGACACATAATAAGGCATAGAGGAATGTGTATTTCACTATTTTTTTTTTGCATAGCAGCATTCTTCACTTTTTAATGCTCTGGCCACTTTATGCTCTGGCCACTTTAGCCAATCTGATATCCTCATAAGAGCATAGAAATATGACAACTCTTCATGGCTGATGAGACTAAAGTATCTGTCTGCTTTTCAGGGGACATCTTCAGATCTAATTACTGTAGATCCTCGAAAACTTTTCTTGGTGGTCTGGTCTGAATATATCAGATCCCATAACTCCACTTTTGCTTGCATTCAAATGTTTTTGTGAACATTTATGTCATAGCATCAATAAATCAATCAAAATAACAGAAAAAGTGGACAAATATATCAAAGAGCAATGGCACAAACAAGATATATATTTATTAACTGTCTATAGTCCAGATATAATAAACTATTAGAGATTCATTCTCTTCAAAATAAATTTTATTATTTTACAGTTTTGTATCGCTTCAAAATAAA